CCTTAGGCCCTGTTCAGTTCTTAGAGACGTATCTTTCTTTCTTGAAAAAAACACAAAAATCCTCTGTTTTGTCCGTTTGTAGTCTCTCGGGGACCATGTCGACCTGCAGGCTCTGGGGGCTTACGCATACTGCACCCTGTTTCCGCCAACGCTTCCTTTCTAGTCTGTGACTTGGTGGCTCTCCCACCCTGAGCTGTTCTTTGGAAGTCACCTCGAGGACATGATGTCAGGTGATACCGTAGCTTTTATGTGTGTATGTGTATATATATGTAATTTTATGTCCCTTTGTAAAATTTAAATTCCACAAATGAGAGAAACGCTGTATTTGACTTTCTAAGTCTATTTTAATTTTCTTAATAGGATTCTCTCTAGTTCTGTCCACTTTCTTGCAAATGCCATAACTCCATTTTCCTTTGTGGCTGAAAGCAATCCCACCTTATTCACACCACATCCTCTGCATCTACTGAATGCAATCCTGCCTGTATTCACACCACATCCTCTGCATCTACTGAATGCAATCCTGCCTGTATTCACACCACATCCTCTGCATCTACTGAATGCAATCCAGCCTGTATTCACACCACATCCTCTGCATCTACTGAATGCAATCCCGCCTGTATTCACACCACGTCCTCTGCATCTACTGAAATGCAATCCCGCCTGTATTCACACCACATCCTCTGCATCTACTGAATGCAATCCCGCCTGTATTCACACCACATCCTCTGCATCTACTGAAATGCAATCCCGCCTGTATTCACACCACGTCCTCTATCTTCTCATTGCCTCCATATTAGCTGATGAGACTAGAGCTGTGGTGATGGACATGCAAGTGTCTCCAGCATGCTGACCCAGGCTCCTTTGGGTAAACTCAGCAGGGGTGGTAGAGTTATGAATTCAAACTAAAGTCAAGTGAGGACCAGCTAATGATGGTGATATTTCCCTTTTAACCCTGCATCAAAGGCACGGCAGGCATGTTTCCACTCTCTGCCCTTCTGTGAGGTGAGAGTCATTTCTCATTCTTCCCAACACTCTGGACATAGGCCTCTGAGGGCCGCTGTCATGGCAGACTCCCACTTTCAATGGCCAGCAGCCTCTGAGGGGCACCGGCACAGTGGACTGTCGTTTTGAAGGAGTCCTCTCTTACCTTCCTCTGTAGAAGCCGGTATTGCCCTCTTTTTTGTTTTTTCAAGACAGGGTTTCTCTGTAGCTTTGGAGCCTGTCCTGAAACTAGCTCTTGTAGACCAGGCTGGCCTCGAACTCACAGAGATGGCATTTGTATATGACATGTGCCCTTTACTCCAGTGAACCATAGTTTTCCTTCTGTGCTGAGGACCACATTCAATCGGGATACAGTCACAGGAAGTTTCCAGATGGACCTATTTAATGAAAGACAGACAGGCAGGCAGTAAAAGGGCTGGAGAAATGGCTCAGAAAGGGTACTACTGGCTGCTCTTCTAGAGGTCCCGAGTTCAATCCCCCATACTCACGTGGCAGTTCACAACAGACTATACTGGGATCTAATGCCCTTTTCTGGGTTACAAACATACATTCTGGGATACAAACAAAGCACCCATATTCATAAAGTATATAAATAAAAAGAAAGAAAGCAATTTTCCCCCAGGCCTAGTGGCATAAGCTGTAACCCCCAGTCACTCTGGAGGCTGAGGCAGGAAGACCAAGTTCAAGCTTAGACAGGTCCTGTTTCAGAATCAAAAGGGTGTGTATTTGTGTGTGTGTGTGTGTGTGTGTGTGTGTGTGCATGTGTGTGTGTGGTTCAGGGGCAGAACTCTTGCCTAGCACACGGGAGCACCAAGTTCCAGCTATAGCACTGCAAAAAAAGGAAAAAGAAAAGAAACAAAATGAAGTTGAATTTTAAAAGCATAACACTGAATTGGAACAATGTAAGTCTGTCTCACACCAACCAAACTTGGACTGGTGGGTATTAGAGGCCGGAATCAGAAGGCCTGGGAGAGAGGAAGCAGGATTGTATGGTGGGCGCCAACACCTCAGCCCTCATTTTTCCTAAAATGGAGCCCTCCGTCCTGCTCCCTAAATATCCCTGGGTCTTTGAAGCCCTCACCCCAGCTCCCACCTACCGTCACACTTCTGACTCAGAGGGAAAAGAAACCCAGAAGCCATTCGTCTTCCTCAAGCACTGCCCGAGAGCTTCGAAGTTTTTTTCACAGCTGAGTTATTTCTGATCTCGGTTCTGGCAGAAAGAAACCTAGAGCAACAGTGGCGGGGGACGTTTGGAAGCCGTGCCAAGCCAAACAGTGTCTAAAAGTCTACAGCTGAGCCTCCAGCCTAGGGAAAGTGTGTTTTCACTCACAAAAACACCTAGGACCGCCTGGGATGTGAAATCAGGGAGAAGGAGAGCTGGGGAAGAATTCCTGAGCTGGGACCTAAGGTGGCCTCCAGCCCTGAGTGTATGGCTTCACACACCGTGCTGATGAGCTGGGACCTAAAGTGGCCTCCAGCCCTGAGCGTGTGTCCTCACACACCATGCTGAGAGCCTGTGAAGGACCGTGGAGGCTCAGCAGGCTCTGGGGCCTGGAGGTGGAGACACGACAAAGAAGTGTGGGGTTGGGCAAGTCACCTGACCTGGCCTCCACTCCTAGAACCTGCAAAAATGAGGTTAGCAGTCAAGTCAAACCTCAGGGGTCCATCCACCTGTGGAGTGAATGTCACCTGTGTCACCTTACAGTGCCAAGCAAGTTCCTAACACTCCCTGGCTACAACAGAGGGCAGCGTGTGTTGTACTGATGTGCAAAAGACGGTTGGTGTGGATGGTGAGGATGATGGCGGTGGTGATGGTGGTGGTGGTAATGGTAGTAATAAGGGTGATGGTGAGGACAGTGGTGGCGGTGGTGATGATAAAGGTGATGGGATGATGGTGGTGGTGATGGTGATAATGGTAAGGGTAATGGTGGTGATAAGGGTAATGGTGAGGATAGTTGTTGTGGTAATGATGATGATGGTGGTGATGGCGATGGCAGAGATGGTGATGATGGCTGTGATGGTGATGCGGGCGATGGTGTGATAAGGATGATGTCGTGTTGACGGCGCTGATGGTGGCAATGGCAATGACAATAATGGTGACAACACTGTCACAGCAGTGATGGTGATGACAACGATAATAGCAATGAGGGTGTAGAAGACATTGAATCTGAGAAAGTAACAGGATTAAGGTCATTCTTTAAGTGGTTTCTGCAGGGTGGGAAGCCAACTCAATCAGCAAAGTGCTTGTCACATGAGCATGAGAACCTAAATCTGAACCCCTAGCACTTGTGGTTTTTATGTCTCTAAAAAAGCCAGGCCATGTTTCAGGCATGGTGACGCACACCTCTAATCCCAGCACTCGGGAGGCAGAAGCAGGTGGATCTCTGAGCTCAAGACCAGCCTAGTCTACAGAGCAAATCCCAAGAAAGCCAAGGCTACACAGAGAAACACTGTCTCAGAAACAAAACAAAACAAAACAGACACAACAGTATCAGCCAAGAGTCCAGCACTGGGTAGGGGAGGCAGAGGAAGGAAAATCCCTAAGATGAACCGGCTAGCCAGCCTGGCCCAATCTGTGAGCTCCAGGTTCACTGACATCCTCAAAAACTAAGATGGGGAGACATCAAAGATGCCCAGCATCAACCATAAATGAATGCACACTTGCACGCGCGCGCGCACACACACCACACACACACACACACACACACACACACACACACACACCAAGTTAATTGATCCCTGATCCAGAAATACCTAGGAGCAAAGCATCAGTTCAGTTCCAACTCCAACCCCAACCTCTGGGGGCAGCATCTTGGGTCTGTACCCAGAAGGTGGTAAGGCAAAGGGACCTCCGGACAAGTGAGTGGATGGGTGGCTGCTGAGAACCCCATAATTTCATCCCACCACATCCTAGAGTCGGCTCTGGCTTTCCCATGCAGAGAAAAGCAGGAAAGCTTGTGCAGGGAGGCTCAACAGTCTGGGGGGAAGGGCTTTCCGAACATTCTCTAGGTGAAGCCTGAATCTGCCCAACTTCCGAGCTCCGTGACAAACTCACCTTTGACATTTCATGTTCGGAGATAGACCAACCAGTGATTGTCCCTGTGAACAGACAGCAGGGAATCCACGGGCAGGAGGAAAAGCCACGCACCAGGACCAAGGATCATTAGAAAATAACTTACTGAGTAGCATCTGTAACTATCACACAGCCAAGCCTGGCTATGGACCAGCCCAAGACCAGATGAGTTGCTTATGCAGGTGAAGGCTCGAGGCACAGGCAGGGTCCTCACTGTCCTGGATTCCAGATGTGGAGGCTCCATTACCTGCTGACATTGATCTCCAAATCGACTCTCCTGCAGGTTTCTCAGCATCTTTCCCAGGTACAGGCACAGTGGGAAAGTCAGAGTCACGGGCTGGGATGGACCACAGTCAACACTGAGAGTCCCTGCCACCTCTGGCGCCATCCCCAAAGGAAAAGGAAAAAAAAGCACTTGAGTTACCAGATATGCCCCCATGAAGGGACACTGTCTCCTTGGGTCAGCTCTTGTACACCCTATCCACAGTCCACTTGGGGGTCACATTGTTCACAGATTTGGTGGCGGTTTGGTTCCTGACTTTTGGAATCTTGAAATAACACACAGGAGCAATGCTAGGGAGCTGTCTTGTGTGCCTAAGGAAAAGGAAGCTGGGAGGTTCCTTAAGGGTTCACCCTGACTCTGGATGAGCCTTATTAAAGGCACAAATGATGGATCCCTTAGCCCTGGGCACAGCACTCTGGGTCATAGAACAGAGCCTTTGGCTGTGGGTTCAGCGCCCTTAACCATGGGTTACAGAGCCTGTGGCCACAGATACAGCCCTGTTCTTTTTTATTTATTTATTTAAAGATTTCTGCCTCCTCCCCGCCACTGCCTCCCATTTCCCTCCCTCTCCCCCAATCAAGTCCCCTTCCCTCATCAGCCCGAAGAGCAATCAGGGTTCCCTGCCCTGTGGGAAAGTCCAAGGAGCTCGCTTCGGCAGTACATATACTGAAATTGGAATGATAGAGAGAAGATTAGCATGGCCCCTGCGCAAGGATGATACAGCACCGTTCTTGTGAGTTATAGAGGTGGGTTACAGCACCTTTGGCCATAGCTTGCAGCATAAATAGTAGCTGGCAACAGGGCCCACCATATGTGGGGCTGGCAATGACATCAGGGGACATCACTTTACTGTTTGATGCCTATACTTTTAAGGTTACAGCCCAAAGCTGGGCATGGTGTCTCAGCCTATAATCCCAGGATTTGGGAGACTCTCTGAGACAGGAGAATTGCCATGAGTTCAAAGCCAGTCCGGGCTGCACCGTAAGACCTAGATGCTGTGTCAAAACAAAAGCTACAGGCAGCAAATCTGTGTTGATGACTGTCACCTGCAATGGTGAAGGGTTTGTCCAGAAGCATCCAGCCACAAAGGGAGCCTGGGAGCCAGGCAGTCAGCTCCAGATTCGTTGCCCGTAATCCAGGGAAATGGGAGGCTGCATGGAGAGGTCTGAGGAGACAAATGAGCAAAATCCACCCGAAGATGAGAAAGAAAAAAAAATCAACCAATACACCAGACAAGAATGGTGGTTAGCAATTAAGAGTACCGACTGCTCTCCCAAAGGACTTAGGTTTGATTCCTGGCACCCACTTGGTGGCTCCCAACTATCTGTAACTCCAGTCCCAGGTGATCTAGGATCCTCTTCTGGTCTCCTTTGGCACCAGGCATACACATGGTACACAGACATACCAGCGGGCAAAATACCCATGTGTATAAGTAAAATGTTCTTTTAAATTAAAACCAAAACAACAAAACTATTATCAAGAAGCATTATTCAATAGTCCAGATGCAATGGGAGGGGGTGGGCAGTAACTGCAGGGTTTTTATTTTGGTTTTTGAGACAGGGTCTCACTATGTGACTCTGGCCATCCTGAAACTCACTATATAGACCATGCTGGCCTTTAATTCAGAGATCCATCCTCCTGGTTCTGCCTCCAAAGTGCTTGGAACAAAGGCACGTGCCACCACACCCAGCAACTGCACTGTCTCTTAGCAAAATTTTCAGGGCCTTGCCCACATTCAGTTGACTAAAATAAAAGCCAAGAATAAAGGAAAGAACAAAGCCGTTTTTCTTCCCTGAGACTAAGCTTCAAGCCAGCGTGTGGCCTGCAGGGGGGACCCACCTTGGCACTTGGCCTTTGATCTGAACAGCATAGAGGCCCCGCGGCATCACAGGGAAATGACATTTCCCAGCTGTCTAAGAGAAGATGCTAATGACAGCCCACTGACATGGGGTCCTCAAGAGACACCCCCACACTTGAAGTCACAGACAGTGTAGGATAGGACCTGTTCTCAGGCTACAGGGCCCCTCTCCCCATCTTCAGTCACACAATGTCACCTCCCCTCCCTCACAGGTGAGGATGGTGGCCGCCCCTAAGCAGTCACAGTTGACAGTCCCCAGAATAGAGTCTGAGATGGAAGTATACATCTCCACCCCCCCACACACATCAGTCTCTTAGCCACCAAAGTCACCACGGAAAGGATTTGGCTCTCCTGTGAGGATTTGACTCCTAATGACCTCCTTGTTCCCTCACAGCTGGGCTAATGGGGACATGCCATCCTGGCTGTCCCAGCCCAAGCAGGCATTTCCCACCTTCTTCACAGGAATCTTGTGAGGAGGCTGCATGAGTCATACCTGCTTAAGGGAATACAAGGATGATAAATCCAAAGAATATTTTGGGAAACAGAAGCAATCAGAACTCTTGGGTGTTGAAAGAGGCGTGACAATGTCTCCCTTGAAGCAGCAGAGAAGGCATCAGCCGGATAAGACACAGTTGTCAGCCTGGGACAAAGACTGAGAACAGAGCTGCAAATGAAGGGGGAAAAAAAATCAATCCGAGGGCCGGAGAGATGGCTCCGTGAGTAAAGGCGCTCACCGCCAAGACTGACAACCTGAGTTCAAATCCTGTGGCCCACAGGATAGAATGAGAGAACTGGTTCCCACAGCCTGTCCTCTGACCTCCACTTGTGAGCTGTGGCATGCACTTCCCCCAGGATAAATAAATAAAGGTTGAGAGAGAGAGGGAAAAGAATCCGTTTGGGCGCATTCTTCCCACCTACCACGCACGCTGAACTAAGAGGATTCATAAAACAAATAAACCCTGGGAAGATTAGCCAAACTTTATGTGGAAAGCGAGCGGAGCTTCAAAGTCACCAAGGATACTCTTTTTAAGGGAAGTGGAATGGATCTGGATATATGAAAACACGGCTTCTCTGTGCCACAGACAAAACAGGGGTGGGGGATGGGAGGAGAGATTGACAGACAACCAGACTGGGGGCAGCGGGTTAACCTCCCCAGCCCGCCTGGTAAGGGAAGCCTTAAACCAACAAGGCTTTTATTTTCTTTTATTTTTTGGAACTTGACAAAATGATACCAAATTTCATCTGGAAAAATAAACACGAGGGACCAGCCAGGGAAAACGTAAGGAGACACAGAAGTAATGAAGGCGCGCTGGCTTTACCAGATGTTCAGCCGCTGGGAACGGGAAGGTGCAGGCTCTTTGAAAGTTGCTGCAGCGCTGGAGAAGCTGCCAGCTTGGGCCAGGCCGAGGCTGGTGGGAGCCTTGCAGAATCAGCATGGAAATGGGAGGGGGAGGTGGGCGCTTCCTATCAGAGGGGGAAATGCATTGTTCGAAGCAAGGCGCCCAGATAACTGGAAGTCAGCCAGCTGGAAAAAATAAAACAGAATCCCTGCCTCACCCCTTATACCCAAATAGATTCCAGATGGAGCCAACATTTAAACAAACAAAAAAATTGAACCGTAAAAGTTCTCAAAGAAAACATAGGTGAACTTATTTATAGTCTTGGAAATGTCTTTCTGAGCAGGCGAGAGGATTCAGAGGCCACGCTGGGGAAAAAAGCATCCTCCAGGAAAAGAGATGAGGGTTAAGTGCTCGCCGGCTTGCTGGTATTAAAGGGTTTGGTTGACGGTGGGAAGGAAAGCAGGCTCTCCACACGGAATGACTAGAGATGGGGCAGCGTCTAGATGACAATCCATGGATCTGGGAAATGCCAGGAAAAAGTGTCAGCTTCCATCCATCTCTGCTTAGCCTGAGAATGAACCAGTTAGACTCAAAGTCCTAGAGAAGCCATGTCGATGCTACAGCAGTTCTCTGGGTGTTTGAAGAGGTGTGGGACTTTAAAGGGACCGAGCAATTCCAGAGGCTTCTGAACTGATTCAATACTTTAGACCACCGTCCTGCCAGATAGGGTGGCGTACACCTGTGATCCCAGCTCTAGGGATGCAATATGAGGCAGGAAGATTGTGTGTTCAAGGCTAGCATCGTCTACATAAGCAAACCATGTCTCAAAAGTTCAAGAGCCAGGTCTGGGGCTGCAAATGCCTCTGAGTGGTAGAACATTTCCCTAGCATACCCAAGGGTTTCTAACCCCAGCATCACCAAGAAACAAAACAAAAAACATCCGAGGACCTAGATTCTGTAAACAAAACCCAGTTAAAATGTCTGAGGTTGATAGGATGATTGGGTGGGTAGGGGCGCTTGCTGCTCCTCCACGCAAGCCTGACACCCTGAGTTTCATTCTCCAGGAAGCAGAGAATCAACTAACCAAGGTTCTCTCTGATTTGCACATGTAAGAATGTACGGCATATACACTCACAAAGATCACAGCCACTAATAATAATAATAATAATAATAATAATAATAATAATAATAATAATAATGATAATAATGCCACCGAATGGCCCAGGCCTGTCATCTTGGTACTTGTGAGGTTGGCGGGAGGATCAGGAGTTCAAGGCTGGCCTTGGCTACATGTAATCTAGCCTCAGAAACAAAACAAAAGAAAGATGAGACAACATTGGCAAGGATTTTTGTTCAGTTCTCAACACTGTAAAACAAGGTTTGGATGGTTGATTGGATGGGTAGATAGATAGACAGACAGACAGAATTGTCTAAGATCTGTTAAGTCTGAAAAAAAACTTACAAATCTCTGTAGAAATATATCAAACACCATTATAAACATATAATTTGGTTTACGCCACATATTTTGATAGCTTTCAGTAGTCTGTATATGAAAATAATAAGAAGTACTTAACCGGTCCCCACTTCAACTTTTTTCTGGGTTTCTCATGAGAAGCACTGCTGTGATGATGGCTGGCGTGCAGTTTCACAGACACATGTGAATAGATTTATATGAAAAGTTCTCAATGATGTGTTGCTGGGCGAACCAGCCCTTGCTGGAAGAGATGTTCTATCCCTGAGCTTCAGTCGCAGCCCTAAACACTGTGGGGGGGGGGGGGGGGAGGAAGGTTCTGTGGTCTGGCCAGGAAGATTTTATCTGTGAGTGTAGAGGCCAGAGGTGGATGTCGGATGTTTTTCTCTTTGGCGCTCCTTTTTATTTTTCAGATAGAACCCCTTACTGAGCCTAGAGCTTGCCCCATCTCTGCCCGTTTTGTCCCCAACTCTGAGGTTACAAGCTCTTGCCAGCACATCTAGCTTCATACGTAGGATGCTGGTGGTCCAAACACAGGCCTCCCTGCATGCCTGAAAAGCATTCTACCCTCCCAGCCTTCTCTACACCAGATACCAGTAACATCCAGGTCATGCTGAACTGTTGTGCGTGAGGACGTCTGGGTTCACATACCACTCTCAAACCAAGAATTACACCACTTTGTCAAATACGTTTTCTGAAAGGTTGAACCAAGACAAGCCAGGCATGGTGGCACGCATCTGTAGTCCCAGCAGTTGGGAGGCAGAACCAGGAGGAATAGGAGTTCAAGGTCACTTTCAGCTATAGAGCTAGTTTGCTGCCAACCTAGGCTACATTTACTCTTTGCTTAAAACAACAGCGACAAAGGGAAGGTGGATTGTGGCTCCGTGGTTAAGCACTCGCTTAGTCTGTCATGCAGGGTTTGGGCCCCGATGACTGGGGAACACACACAGACCCCAGCAGAACGGAGTTGGGGGAGTGAGAACTGTTGAACGAGCCCCTTTGCAGGAAAAGGGCCCTGAGACAAAACATTTGATTGATCAATACTTAAGAAGTCTGTTTTTGTTCTGCCACTGACGTGCAATGA